AATTAAACTTTTTTATATTCTGTTACAGATATAAACTACACTTCACATTCCATCTCTACACATTAAATCTGTGAATTAAATTTGTAAGGGAATACAATCATCATTAAATCATAAAACAATGAACAAAAAGAATTCGTCAAAAACATCATCTTTACGAAAATCGTCTAAATCTGAATTGACACCAGAACAAATAATGAATCTTAAAACAGAACTTTATCAATTGGCTCAATCGAATATTATTCCTTTACCGAATGAACGTCGTTTCGTTTCCCTTCGTTTCGTTTTTCCGATCATTTGTCTAAATCAACGGTTGTATGAAATATACGCATTCAGAATTCATTCTCATATTTGAATTATTTATTTTCGTTATTCACTAACGCGATTTAAGTCGACGATTATCTACCATAGTAGCTGTGATGCATATTTCGATAACAATCAACAAACGATGTAATTGAAGTCGAATACAGGGACACACTTAAGTGATGAACTCGTCAACAACATTATCGTCCGATCTGACTGAGGTCAGATAAAGATCTAATCAATGTAGACTTATAAATCTACTAACAATAAATGAATCAATTAAATACTAACGACTTTCAAACTCTGTCTGTATTCAAACCTATCAGGTGACTATATAAAATTCTCTCTTACGGCTATGAATAGAGTGATCAGTTCAAGTGATCATACTGATTTCTAATTTGTAACTTTTAATATTCAGAATATTAGTTAACATATATTGTCCACCTCATTGATTTTAGTGTAGACATTATAGTTCAAATAATTTTTGAGAACTAAATTCATTTCATAATGGGAATCTGTGAAGATTGTAGTAATTTTAACAGCTGAATTCATGCGTTGATCCGAGTTATACCATCATTGAAAACCTAGAAGTACTAGACGGCTGTTTCGTCCCAAAATGTGACTCCTCAGTGCATATCCATCACCCTCCAGTCGGGATTCGAATTCAGAACCCGTGAACGAATAACCTCCATATTACCGAACTCACTAGGGGAAAGCTTTAAGATATCATCCTTGAAGTCCTATGGAGAAGCTTTGGTCAATCGAGTTCAACCACCATAGGAAGTGGGAGATAGCTACATGGCGCTATCAGATTTCCAACGGTTATCTATTATTTATTCAAAAAAAGAACAAATATGTGACTTTTGAAAAAATCCAGTTAAATTTTATGTCATGAGGTAATAACAATTATACATGCTGGTAGACGAAATAAGAATAAGCATTGCCGGTTTGAAAACAATGTATCTTCATTATGTTTGAAGTAGTAAAGTACTTTCACAACACTGTTTGTAACACTAGTTTAGCAGTTTAGAACCAGTTATTTCTTAATATTCTATTATCTTTTCTTCAATGTCTATAAAGAGATTCTTTAATAGTCAGTATAGAGTTGTGAAGATTATTGAATTTTATTAAAATCATGAACCAATCTATGTTAGACCTCCATTTAAAACATAGAACCACTGAATAGCCAACTTACTAAGTATGGGACTCCTAAGAAGTGCACCAATGTGCATCCACGATTCCTCATGCAAAGAATGATCCCAGGACCTTCAGTCTCTCTCTCAAAAGCCTAAACTTTGAAACGCAGTGCAGGGATCCGACGGTGTTAACTTATTTAATTTAAATCAATCCACGATTGATTTCTACTCTAACGGTCGTTGATATGCGATGCTGAGTCACATACTGGGATGAAACGATCTTTTAACGCTTTCAGGTTTTCAATGATGGTCTATCCTAGATGGGTTCATGATTTTAATGAAATTCTTTAATAATCATCTACTCACCAGTGACAGCTCTATTTTCAGTATCGTTTAGTTGTATATGTTTTCGTGATGTGCACATTTTTAGAGATACATTTTTGCCAATAACTAACATCAAGTTGATAACCACCATGAAGACTCAAAACCTGGAAGAGTGGAGAAATCACAAAGTTTGCAATTTAAGAGTAGATAGGTAAATTTTAAAAAATAATCAAGTTCAAGGACGTCAATGATGTACGATTTTCAGGCTTTCAAATAAACACAATTATTTCGCATTTTTGAATTAGAATGTACTAGTTCACATTTTCGAATTCTAATCTATATAATACTTACTTACTTACTTACTTGCCCTCAAATGCCCTGGTACGGTTGAGAGTGGGGAGAGTCCGCTCTCCCTCTCGAAATGCTCTCACATAGCCACGCGTATATAGCCTCTGACAGGGAAGTCCTACTCACTGCCTTCTCGTAGCGGCAGTATTGTTTACGAAAGTGGGAGGACGAAAAGCGAATGTCCTTTGCTTTAACCTGGTTGGTGGATATGGAAAATCCATCTAGGGGAGTTAAAAAACCCTGATCCCAAACCAATGGTGCACATGGCCTCCAGTATCCTTAGGAAACAAATGGAGTAAAAACCAATTACTGGCGACCGGCTACTATGGGACTTGATCTCCTTACGATGCTCCACTACCTTGTGGATCAAATCTTTAGGTCGAAGGCTTGGGGTGTGGCCCCCTAAGAAAACCACCTGCTTCGGTTTGGGCACCTGGGCAGTATCACAGTCCTCACACATATCAAATGAGACTTGTGTGGCGCATATCTATTTGGTGCCTTCTTGTACCAATATCTACGTGTTAAAATAACAAAATAATAATATTTACTTACTTACTTACTTACTTACTTACGCCTGTTATTCTCAATGGAATATAGGCTGCCAACCAGCACTCACCAACCCACTCTGTCCTGGGCCTTCTTTTCTAGTTCCATCCAATTCTTGTTCATTTTTCTCATGTCTATCTCCATTTCTCGGCGTAATGTGTTCTTTGGTCGTCCTCTTCTCGTTTGACCTTCAGGATTCCATGTGAGGGCTTGTCTTGTGACGCAGTCAGGTGCTTTCCTCAGTGTGTGTCCTATCCACTTCCAGCGCTTCTTCCTCACATCGTTCTCCGCTGGGATCTGGTTTTTCTCTCCCACAGTAGGTTGTTGCTGATAGTGTCCGGCCAACGGATCCGAATTATTTTGCGTAGACAACTGTTAATAAACAGTTGTATCTTCAGGATGATGGCTTTCGTAGTTCTCCGGGTTTCTGCCCCATACAGTAGAACTGTCTTGACATCTGTATTGAAAATCCTGACCTTGGTGTTGGTTGACAGTTGCTTTGAGTTCCAGATGTTCCTCCGCCTAAAGTCTCTCCGGGTGCTACTGCCGGTCCTAAGCCCGGATGAAGGAGGATGGTTGGGCATGAGGTTAGCGTCCCCATCCCATAGAAACCTAACACGCTAAAAAACGCTAACCAGAAAAAATTATTCAAACCTTTTAAACTCTGCTTCGGGAATCAGAAGGTCTTCATTTAGAAGAATTATGACGCCTCATGATGAAAACCGAAAGAATAATGGAGAACAGTAAAGAATAATAGGTAATATGCAAGAACTGACAAATTGTAAGAGTAAATGACGAGTAATTCTAAGAGCATGCAATCTCTTTATGTAGTACTAGTAAAGATTGATTTGTTGATTCATCAATTGACTTACCAGGGTATTAGATTAATCTTGATCATAATGGTCATTGAAATTAAGATACAAAGACAAAAATGAAATATCGCAGTACCAACATTTTTTGTTCTAATTACTTCCGTTATTTGCGAAAAATTGTAACTATGCTACAAAAAAAATATTATTGATCATTTCTGGAACCGGAAATAAAGCTGAAATGAAATTTTTATCATTTACATATGTCATCATCAAAAATTTATGAAATGTGCCGGAGGGGGGAAATGGGTATCAATAGAAAGATATACGGCGAAAAGATGACCTAGAAATATGGTTATTATTGCTTCATAGAAGTATATTTTAAAATATGGTTACCAATTACTTTTCCACCAAACTTAGAACTAATACTTCATCTTATAAACAGAGTATTCAACAAAGTGTTAATCTGATAAACTGTACATGATCAACTGAGAGTGAACTCAGAGATCGTGATGTCATTCAAGACCACTGATATGAAACTAACTTGTGTACATACAGCCTGGAGGAAGTTTCCGTATATTAAAAACTTAATGCAGGTAATTCTCCAGTCGATTGTATATGCAGATTCGATATTCCTGAGAATAATTTCCACCAACTGACTAATAAGATCAAATTCAACGTATATTTAGATATCTTAAAATTACATACATTTTTTCACTCAATAGCACATGATGATTTTAAGATTCCAAACTTATGCAAGAATGATTAAACTATTATGATACTTGTGATATGCAGATAATGTTGTTTAGGAGAAGAATTTGATTCACATCACACTTGAAATATAAAATATAAATGAGACATTGTCTACTTCGGCTGGATCTGCTGTAGAGAATAGTTTCCAATGGAATAACAATAATGATAAGTCTTGTTAATTGAACGGTAGATTTATTTCCCAAGTTCTTCTAGTAACCCATAGGATAGGTCTACACAGTGACTTGAACACAAGAGAAAAGGCCCGAAATCTGCAAGAAACACTTTACTCCAAATATTCGTGTATGTACAGAAAATATAGGGCTATAGTGTTTTAGATGTCCTTGGGGTTCCGGGAAATTCTAGAATGCTAATGAACGTAGTAGCAGTATAAGTACTCAATCAATCAATCAGAAACTCTACATGTGACTTTACTTTCTTGATGTTTCTGGCTAAACTTCTAGTGAATGCTGATTAGATAAGATGCATCTCAATGTTTTCAGAACCTTTCTTAGCTTTTTCGAAGAGTTTTCTGCCTGTCCTCAACAAATAATTCCCTTGTATTACGTAAGATATGCAAGCCAATCTTTTGAAATCAATCAATATTTCCATCCCTCATTTGTTTCTTGAAGATGGAAAGTAACTCCAATAAAAACTATGGACACATTAAATTAAACTTTTTTATATTCTGTTACAGATATAAACTACACTTCACATTCCATCTCTACACATTAAATCTGTGAATTAAATTTGTAAGGGAATACAATCATCATTAAATCATAAAACAATGAACAAAAAGAATTCGTCAAAAACATCATCTTTACGAAAATCGTCTAAATCTGAATTGACACCAGAACAAATAATGAATCTTAAAACAGAACTTTATCAATTGGCTCAATCGAATATTATTCCTTTACCGAATGAACCGGATTTTGCAACATGTGATGATACGTAAGTGTTTGTTGTTCATTTATACTCACTTGGTATTGTTGACTTGAATCTTCCCATTGATAGATTCCAATGGTAGCCACTATTCATCTTTGCTTAGAATACTTGTAAATTGAGGTGATATCGAGTCAATACATGCAGTATGCACATATGTCAATAAGTGACGGATTAATTGCAGTCCTAAACATCAATGGGAACAGTCAAGTATTTACTGATATCAACTACAAATAAAATAATCCCTTGAAACATCTTAAAATCTTAATAATAATCCAATTCAATTTACAATACCTAATAATTAATATGAGAGTACAACTAATGGGTGGATTCCAAGTGAGAACAGGAATCAAACAAGGTTGCTTACTCTCACCCTTTCTCTTTATTATGGTGGTTGACTGAATTATGAATTCCTCCACACGTGAGGGGAAACACGGAATCCGGTGAACAGCTCGGAATCAACCAGAATATTTGGACTCCTTAGATGACTTAGCTTTTCTATCTCATGCACACGAACAAATGCAGATGAAGAAAACTAGTGTAGCAGCAGTAAACTTCAACATACACAAAGAAGAAAGTGGCATCGTCAGATACAAACGGAGAACATCAACTCAATCTCACTTGATGGAGAGGATCTGGAAGATGTGGAACCTTTCACGTACCTGAGAAGCATCATCGATGAAAGTGGATGATCTGAATCAGAAGTAAAAGAGAGGATTGGCAAATTCCTATAATTGAAGAACCTATGGAACTTAAACCAAATGTTAATCAGTATCAAAGTCACAATCTTCAATACGAACGTCAAGACAGTTCTACTGTATGGAGCTGATACGTGGAGAACTACAACAACCACCATCAAGAAAATACAAGTATTCATAAATGGTTGTCTACGCAAGATACTCAACATCAATTGGCTGGATACCATCAGCAACTGCTTTATATGGGAGAGAACAAACCAGCTTCCAGTTGAAGAAGAAATCAGGAAAAGACGATGGAAATGGATAGGACACACACTACGCAAATCATCAAACTGCATCACGAGGCAAGCCCTAACTTGGAATCCTGAAGGGAAGCGGAAAAGAGGAAGGCCAAAGAACACATTACATAGGGAAATAGAAGTAGATATGAAAAGGAAGAATATTGACTGGAAGGAGCTGGAAAGGATTGTGTGGGACAGAGTTAGATGGAGAATACTGGTGGGTGGGCTATGCTATTGCACGAGGGGTGACAGGCACAAGTAAGTAATAACTAAAATGCGTTATTTTACAGTTATACATCCTATTGGTTTCCGTACTTATTCATTCAATACAAAGTATTTCATTTCAAGCATAATGGATATACAAGGATTCCCAAACAATGTACACAATCGCACTCCATAGCATTTTCTTCGTTTTTCCTGATCAACTGTCTAATCATTTAGAACATTTATATTATTTTCTAATATTGAATCTCAATACTGTAACTGTTAAATGATCTGAACATGGGTTGAATCATGATTAGAGGATTCTTCCTCTAGAGATTTTGACGTTTAACGTATAACATTACACTCACATACACCATCACTAATCTTTTTGGGTTATGTGAGGACGGTCGACAAGTGAACTCGAGAAAGAGTCGAAGATATTCCATCCAATCATCTTTTGGAAGGATATTCTAGTATCTCTACGTGTAGCTTCCCGATTGGACGATGCTAATAACCCCCTGTGTGCGGATTGGATAGCTATAATAATGACAGTTTCGTACTATAATTTAACACTGTCTGGAATAACATTCCTTTCACTAGTCTTCTGTCTTCTCATTGCGACTTGAAAGGGTTCTAGCGTTCAGGTGCTCAAGTTATACGTGGTATATCAAGAATATAAACATCTACATATTACAGGTTATAATCAATTTCTTGTCGGACTAACATTTTTTACTCAATTCAATTACTTAATGAGAACCATTGAATTGTTTCAATCAAGAAAACTACAATCTACTTTATACACCTGATATTTATTTTTACTCTCTTTCTCCTCAACTTATTATTAGATTAACTCGATTTCTTGTGGCAAGAAATTATGTTGTTGAAGATGCTTTTAAACAATTGAAAACAGCTGTAGAATGGCGTCGAGAATATCAACCATTGACAATTCAATGTAAATGGTGTCATGAAACACCAGGATTTCATTCAGTTGTGAGTTATTATTGTGTTGTTTGTTTATGTACTTTACAACATTCTCGGAAGTCTGATTGTGCTGGATTATTATTATTATGATGAACACCATGACCAGTGTTCATATAAAGCAGATAAGATCTTTATTTAAATTTACGTTAATGATTCTGCTCAATATGTCAACGAGTTGATTGATTTCTGAATTCGTTAGCTGAGTGACTTACTCCTTATTCTTATTCTTTTGAAGTGATATGTATTGAGTTAAAACCTCAATGTGAACATTAACATTAGAAGCAAGCAAGTACATCTAACTGGAATAAGTTACAAATAGGACATTACTACTGCCTACTATCTAGTAAGACAATAATGATCAAATTAGTTGATTAAGTTTACTGTTGTTGTTGTTGTTGTTGTTGACAAATAACACCAAACAGAGTATTTTTATATTCCATTTAGAGATAGCCTATGCTTATTCCAAATTAAAAACCATTCGAATATTATTCTAACACGAAACATGATGTAGGCTAACTCTATGGACTGGACATCTAGTGATCGAAGAAACTGAGGAGTCAAAAACTTAAACAAAACCAAATCTACATATAGTAATAAATATAAACTCTACATATAACAGAATTACTGGAAACATTGAACGATCGTTCCGTCCTATTGCGGGACTCCTTGGCAGTTCACATCTACGATCCCGCTCGCAGGATTTCAACCCAGAGCATGCAGTCTCGCGCGCGAACGCTTAACCTCTAGATCACTGAGCAGGCATCCCACAATAAGATGTAACGGCCGACCAATTCTTCCAGATTTTCATTACTGGTTCAACATCAATCAATTCATGATGTCAGTCAAAAACTTAATAGTCTCCAAAACCCTATACCGCCAAATAAAGTTATCATCTCATTAAACTTTTGATATCTTAGACCGTTTTATTTATTTTTATCTTTTCCATTCTTTGCTTTCATTTCAACCAGCGACAAGTTGGGTTCGATCGTGAAGGTAGACCATTGATGTATGCTTGCTTTGCTCAATGTCAAACATTGAAAAATAATCCAGACGATGTTGTTTGCCATATGGTTTATCTTATTGAACATGCAAAACGAAGTATACAAACCTCAGTGAATACATTGGTATTTATTATTGATTGTACAGGTAAGATTATAATGTACTACTTAAAGATAATACGATTTTTTAAAACAAATTCAATGTAATGAGAATCACAATAAACATCCTATTGGTGGCATGTGTTAGTGACTATCTAGACGATTGACCTAGTAGATAACGCGTCGAACATTTGAATTGAAAGTTACTGTGTTCAATGCTACGGAAGTAAGTGTATTCAGCTGACGAGTCCTAAATCGAAAGTTATTTATATTCTGTTTGACACGATCCATCTATTTCAGAAAACCTCTAGAAATTTTCAAGGTTATAACCAGTCGAAAATGTCATAATGTTATGATCCTTCAAGATGCTCCTCACATACGATAAAACATCTTCTCTATCTATATTTCTGTTGTTCCAAATATAACTAGCTCTCAAAACTCTATCCAATGAGATGCTCTGAAGAGTATAGAATTACTTAAGAATTTCTTTTAAGCAAACATCAGAAGAACTAATCTTTATTGATTCACGTTTTATATGTGCAATTTTTATTTAAACAAATAAATAAATATTTCAAGTGTTTTCTTTAGTATTCATATGTGTGCTACTGATATCTAGGGAGATAAGTAGTATATATCATCAATCGAAAGTTAAATGCCTGGTGGCAGAAGGTTATTATTATTATTATTTGAACACATGAATATTGGTACAAGAGAGCGCCAATATATATGCGCCATACAAAACAATGAAAATTCGAAGAGAAGTACAAAAAAAACTAAGGAGCGCAAAAGAAAAAGAAAACAATAACGAAGAGATTGGTGTAAGGTAGTGTGGTAGTAACGAGGGAACGAAAAGGTACAATCAGAAAAAATCTTTCAGTTAAGGGAGACACAACCACTTTTTATGAAGAAAGTAAAAGAAGGTTACAGCAGGATCGCCACTGGCTTCTATTCTGAGCCGTATCGGATAACGTCTCTAGCCACTGTGTTCCATCATCTCTCGAACCCCAACCAGGTAGTCGTGAAGGACCAACAGAAGCCAGTCCTTTGCAGCTTTCTTTCATACCACGACACCATGTCATACACTGACCACCTCTCCGCTTCTTCCAACCAGTCCCAGAGTCGGCAAATAATGCACGACGTGGAATTCTCTGGGACGACATTCGGAAAACATGTCCAAGCCACCGAAGTCGGTGTTTCAAGATGGTGACACCAATTGTATTATCGTCTCTGTGCCCGAACACACGATGCCGAACCTCTGCATTACTGACATGGTGTTGCCACTGAATGTCAGCAATCCTTCGGAGACAGCGATGATCGAACACAGAGAGTTGTCTAACGTCCTCAACTCGGAGAGACCAGGTTTCACAAGCATAGAGCAAAACTTCTCTCACCGACGCGTTGTAGATCCGACCTTTTACAGCCAGACTAACATCACGAAGGCGTCAAAGGTGGCCCAGATTGGCATAAGCCGCTCTGGCTTTCACTATTCGTGCATTGATCTCATCACTCACACCCCCACCAGCACTTATGCAGCTACCCAGATACACGAACTTCTCGACTACTTCTATCTGTTCACCGTCCAGGGTGAGTAGAGGATTAAAATCCTGCCAGTCATGTAGAAGTACTTTGCACTTCAAAGGTGCAAAGCACATACCATACCTACGGACACTGATTGCCAACTGATTAAGTGCGGACTGCATGCCTTGGGCATTATCGCACAGTAAGACAATGTCGTCCGCATACTCAAGGTCGAGAAGTCTTTCTCCAGGCAACAGATCCACACCACCATTACTTACATTCATCAGAGCTGTTTCCAGAATGTCATCGATGGTAAAGTTGAAGAGGAATGGTGAGATTGGGCAACCCTGCCTAATTCCACTGCTCGAATGGAACAATGGAGAGAGGTGGTTGTATGCCCTCACTCTGCCTGAGGTGTTTTTATACAGGGCTTTTAGGATGTTAATAAACTTCTCAGGCACACCCTTCTTCAATAGACAATCCTGGAGAACAGTCCTGTCCAACAAATCGAAGGCAGCCCTGATGTCAAGAAACACTACGATTGTTGGCCTTTGATAAGTATGGCGGTGTTCTAACATTTGGCGGAGGGTGAAGATATGATCAATACATCCTCGACCAGAACGAAACCCAGCCTGCTCCTCGCGAGTCAATCATTCTCGGGTTTTGAACAACCTACGAAGAATGACGGAAGCCAATAGCTTGGACGCAATCGGACGTAGACTTATCCCCCGATAGTTGTTACAGGAACGACGTGAACCCTTTTTAAAGACAGGGACAACTATCAACTCATTCCATGACGTTGGTTCACTCTCTAGTTCCCAAACCTTTGTAAACAACGTCGTCAATTCCTTAGTCAAAAAGACACCACCATCTTTAAAAAGAGCCGGAGGTAAGTCATCTGGGCCAGGTGATTTGTAACGCTTCAAGAGTTGGAGTTCCTTGCGGACTTCCGCCTCATTTGGTGGATCAGTCGTCACCGGCCACGGAGGGCAGGACGGTCTGACCGATGTTGCCGGAGCAGCAGGCCAGTTGAACTGCCCTTCGAAAAATTCTGCTCACCGTCCAAGACGTCGATGGATGTTAGTGATTGGCATCCCATCATCCTCGCAGATTGTTTCACTCACACCAGACTTCTTGCTGCCAGTGGCTCGGATGAGTTGGAAGAGCTTCCGGTAGTTACCAGATGCAGCTGCTGCTTCCAGTTCATTAGCACGCTTCGACCACCAGGCTTCTCGGTCCTTACGCAAGCTTTGCCCAATTTCAGTACGTAACATCCTTCGTTTATGGTCAAACTCACAGTCATCCAGAGTAGACCAACGGGCTTCAATGAGTTGTAAGGAACCAGAAGAAACCCAGTGCTTAAAAGCGGGACGTTTCGCAAACCCATAACTGACTGTACCCGCCATTTTCATGGCGTCATGCAATTGCAACCAATGCTCATCTATACTTTTCGGTGGAGTGGTAGCTAGCCTAGAGGCTAGCTCGGTTCGATACTTACTTGCAACAGAAGTTGCAACCAGCTTGCTAACATCAATCTTTTGGTGGTGGCCGCTGAAAAGTAAGGTAAGATTGTCGCAGACCAACGCATGGTCAGAGTCCGGATAGGTACTCCAAAAGGAGCGGCAGTCTTGTACACAACCACGCCAGCGGTAGCTGATCGCGATGTGATCAATCTGAGTCCAGGCTTGAGATGCAGAGGGAGGACGCCAGGTGGCACATCAGCGATGACTGTGCCGAAAGTAAGTGCTAGCCAGAAACAGGTTGTGGTCTGTGCAAAGTTGCAGTAGACGGTCCCCGTTATCTGACCTGCGACCAACGAGTCCCCGTCGGCCACCTAAACGACTCTCTTCTGTGCCTAGACGCCCGACCTGAGCATTCAAGTCTCCGGCTAGTACTACAATATCTGTCGAACGCACTTTCTGGAGAAGAACTGATAACTGGTGGTAAAACTCATCCTCGATTGCATCCGGGCTGCAATCTGTCGGAGCATAGGCGGAGATGACGAAAAGACATCGTTCCTCACGCCGATTTCTTCTCACTTTGATGAAACTTTCTAATCTAACAGCACATAACCGACTGTTAATGGGGATCCAATCGACTAGTGCTGCCTCACCTCTAGCGCTTAGTGCGACACCAACGCCAGCAAGACCAGACGAAGATGCCACAGGGTCCCCGGATAAGCGCACGTAAAACAAGCTTTTCGAAGCGACAGATGGAGATCGAATTTGTAGTACTTCGCCAGAGTCTTGAATACGGATCTCGGATAGACAACAAACATCAATATTAAGACTTTCCAAAGACATAGCCAGCCCTATCTGTTGTCCGACCTGCATAAATGTGCGAACGTTGAAGGCAGCCAGTTTGAATGGTGCACGTGGTTTCAGAAAAACTGCTTCAGTACTCGTATTCGGTGGTAACATACAATTTTCAACCGGACAGTGACTCGAGAACGTTTAGATACAGTCGAATTTCCACCAAAGACGAGCCGCTGTATAAGTATAAAAGAGGGTGAATAATGTGGAAAATAATAATAATAATAATAATAATAATAATAATAATAATGACAATAGTATTAACAATGACAATAAATGTAATGATAATAATTTGAATCAATTGATTGTTTTTCGAAGCGAGAAAAATAATTTCCATAGACATAAAGAGTTCATCATTTGTGTGTGGGCTGTGATACTGCCCGGGTGCCCAAACCGAAGCAGGTGGTTATCTTAGGGGGCCACACCCCGAGCCTTTGACCTAAAGGTCTAACCCACAAGGCAGTGGAGCATCGTAAGGAGATGCAATCCCATGGTTCATACGCCATTTGTTCCCGCAGGATACTGGAGCCCATGTGCACCGTTGGTTTGGAATCCGGTTAAAGCGCCGGACATTCGCTTTTCGTCCTCTCATTTTCGTAAACAACACCCCAGCCACGAGAAGGCAATGAGTAGGATATCCCTGAGAGAGGCTATATACGCGTGGCCGTGTGAGAGTATTTCGAGAGGGAGAGCGGACTCTCCCCACTCTCGGCCGTACCAAAGCATTCAGGGGGCGGCAGAAAGTTAGTAGAAAAATGAATGAGAATAGAGAATGATTGGTTGGGAAACGAAGGAACAATGATGTCTGAGACGATTGATTGACATTTTGCAAATGAAGTCTTTATTGTATAGTTCTCGGATTTTACTATCATGTTCTGCAACTTTATATTCAAACACATTCTATTGTCCCTATTTGTGTTCTCGTTCACTACAATATCATCACGAATTAATGATATCACAACAGATTTTTCTCCTTCTTACACTTAAATGTCCTAAGCATTCAATAATGGTATTTTTACAAAGTTATTTGTTAGGTAAGTGGCATCTAATAGTGATTCTTGAATTTCATATCTAAACTGAAAATGTATTATTACATGGTGGATTAGTTCAGCAGTGTAATATATTATGACCATGGTGGGTTTTCAGCGAAAAGTAGACAGGAGTCCTTATTTGACCTACATTTTGTACAAGTTGACGCTCAAGAACAAGGTATATCTACAACATTGAAGGAACTGATACTCGTGCAGAATTCGAATCTATATGACCCGAGTTTATAGTTTATAAAGCTATTGTACAGCTGTTTTGTCAATGTGCAGAACTTCTCAGAAGTGCACTTTTCCTACCCCCATCTAAGATGAAACCTGAATCTTTAGGTCATATGGCAAATCCTAAACGTTTATACCAGTGAGTTGTCATCCAGCGGCCTACATTTCTAACTTCAGTCAACTTGTCACATCGCGCAACCATCTTCTTCTACACCAATGAGCAATTCCCTCACATTCGATATTGCTGAACTCCACTCTTCACGACTTCTCAAGGAAACGTCGGAACTCGCCTCTTGAGATCACTCACTATTAAATACATAATCACTGAAACAACAAGCATCATGTTTGCGTATTACACAATCACATTTATTTTCACATTTAAAATTATATTGGTAATTTAATAGTTGAGTTCATGAGTCAATTGAAGCTAGACCACTATTGAAAACTTAGAAGCACTGGAAGGCCATGTCGTCCTAGTATGGGACTGCTCAGGAGTGTGCATGCAAAACCATGCCCAGTGAGATGCGAACCTAGGACCTGTTGGTCCTCTCTCGAGCGTTTAACATCTAGATCATTGAGTCGGCATCTAACAGTGTTAGTTTCTGACTTGAAACAATCCACCAATCGCCCCACCGTCCATTATTGTCATCATTGAGTTATTATCTCACAACAAACCCGGTTGAATTCTACTGATCATGGCTTCTCACTAGAACTCCAAGAAATACCTCTTGGATGTATACTGCCACTGAGGTATGCCATACTAGAACGAAACAGCCGTCCAGTGCTTCCAGATTTTCCATGATGTTCTAGCTTCATTTGGCTAATGAATTCAACTATTAAAAATTACTAAAATCTCATCGAAATTCCCTTCCAATATAAATTTTATCAGTTTGATGTGATATTTATTAACTAATTATCAAGTTTGTGTAGAATCAGTTTATAAATTAGGGTATTCTGTTTAATGTTATCACATTTTCAAAGAGTTAATAATGCTTCGTTTGTTGTCATCTCCGTTTCGCCTTAGTATGGGACAGATGATTTTGTGATTTTGCGAATCAATAAAATCATAATGGAGATTTTGTAGAGATGTTAATAATTTTAATAGTTGAATTCATAAGTCGATCACAGGTAGACCACTATTGAAAACTTAGAAGCACTCTACAGCTATTTCGTTCTAGTAAAAGACTCCTCAGCAATGTGCATCCATGATCCTACACGCGAAACCTGAACCCATCTCAATGTGTTGTATCTAGAAGGTTGTTCTTGATATACCGCGTATAACGTGAGCACTAGAACGCCAAAACCCTTCCAAGTCGCAATGAGAAGACAAAAGACTAATGAAAATAATATTATTCCAGACAGTGTGAATTATGGTACAAAATTGTCAGGTATTTATAGTTTTTAGTCAGAACTAAATCATCATTACAGTTCACCAATCCGTATACAGAGGGTCATTAACATTGTCCAATCGGGAAGCTACACGTAGGAATTCTAGAGTATTCTTCCAAAAGATAATTGGATGGAATATCTTCGGCTTTCTCTGAGTCTCCTACAGCTTCCTCAAGTTCACCCGTGGTCCGTCATCACACAATGGTTTATAGGTTAACGGTTTGCGTGCAAGAACAAAGACCTTGAAATCTAGTCCCACATGCAAGATGCATACTGCCATTGTGCTATTTCATTCTAGAACTAAACAGTCGTCCATTAAGTCTAATATTTCCATATCGATCTAACTTCAATTCACTCATGAATTCAATTATTCAACTAACTATCATCTCCACAAGACTACCTCCAATCCCTCTTTGATTATATTGACAAAATATTGTTTTATTTCTCGTCTGTTTGTCTTTTCTCGTTTATTCACAATTAGGTTTAACTGTTGCTTGTTGTAATCCAAAAATTGGTAAGAAATTTGTACAAACATTTGCTGATTGTTATCCAGAAACTTTATATAAATTTATATTAATTAATCATGGTACATTTTTTCATGGTATATGGAAAGCAATTAAAGTTTTCATTGATCCAAATACAGTGAAAAAAGTGAAATTAATTCGTAAAGAAAAAATTCAACGAACATTTAATGAAATGTTTACCCCAGATACAATAACATGGTTATTAGATGAAATTAAATTAAATAAAATCAATATCGCAGAAAACCAATTGAGATTTTGTGAATCAACACATTCATATGAATTACATGATCCACGTGGTACACATGAATACATTCAACGTTGTATAGAACCATTAAAATTATTCATTGAACAACAACAACAACGACAGCAACCACAGCAACCACAGCAACAATCTAATCAAAAATCCATTATATTAACATATGATAATTTAGGTTTAAAAACTCATATGCCACATACAAATATTATGGATTGTTTAAATAAAACATTAAAACAAGTTGAAATCCAGTCATTCTATAATGGTAAATATATTAAACCAAATAAAGAAGAATTACAAGCATATGGAGTTGATGTCAATGATAATCTATCTGAAATTAGTGGAGGATCTGAAGAATAATAATAATGATGATAATAATAATGAAATGATTTAAAATATGCTCCTTTTCATGAATTGATCTTCTTTTATTATTAATCTTAAAACTCTATTTTGATCTTTCTATTCTGTGCATTTAACTTCAATGATCATTGTTCAATATAAAGTTGTATATTGAACCCTTGTGTAATATTTTTTTATAAAAAAATTTCTTTGGCTTGAATGTAAATTTCTGATATTTCAATTGAATTAAAAAAATTAGGCAAGAACTATAATTTATGGATATAAGCATCAGCTGGTGAATTTGGCGCCGTGACATTGAAATCCATCAGACGTTTCTGATTGGTTCGTCTGCAAATTATAGTATCGAGACTACTAGCCAATCACAAAACAGTTAATATAGAGTAAAATTATGCACTAAAGAAAGCCAAAGAATTAAAGTGGATACACTTCTTTTATATGATTTATAAACTTTTCAAGGTTAGAAAGAGGTTCAGAAGTTCTGAAATCGTAATGCATACAGTAGAGGAACTTATCCATATGGCTCCATAATAGTTGGCTTCTCGAGCCATAATAGTATCGTAAAAACTCTTTCAGCTCGACCACATAACTTCATTATTGTTTGTGTGCACTCCGGTTGTTGGGTCCAGAGAATGCCGCTTGTGGACAATCACACAATGCTCATAACCAATTCTATATAGGCGCCTGTACGCTCACCAATCCTCTGTATATATTGTTGTGCTTGGCTGTACATATTCCCGTGTAATTGGTATTATTGTCATTGCCTATCGGTTTCTGACCCGCTGGAAGTGTCCTTATTGAGATGATATGTCGTAAATTCCAAGGAACTCTGAGGAATATGTAATGAAGTGCTACTTACCCAGTCTATTTCAATACTACGTTTTCTGTTAAGTTTTCGTTTCCTGACTATTGTTTCGTCTATTTCAACGATTCTCTCAACTCCCTCCAAAAGACTCGCGTAAGCTTGTCCTTTTTTGTTGCATATATACCTCTACAATACTCATACCACTGAACATCCAAAGCTTCAGTAACATCTGCAAATGTTGCAGCTAGTGTTACTGGCGCTTTTATTATCCAATTCGCAACAATTATCATGATTTTCTTTAGTTTCAATCGAGATCGAGCGGCGGAAGTTCCTGTTCTTTCACACTTCTTGTTCCAACATGAACAACATCGAAAGGCAACTTCATTATGGTAGTCTGTACACAGTACAGAATTCATTTGATTGCCTCAGACACAAGTGAAGGAATTTCTTTATAATCCTATTTGTTGTATCCGCTCAGTTATCACGTCTTCTATAAAATCCGCTGTAAACCGATTGTATATGAGCATCACGTACTGGAATTTGCGCTGTGACCTTGAAAACGCTCAAGCGCTCCTGATTGGCTCGTCCATAAATTAGAGTCTCGCCAAAAATTATTATTTTAAAAAAATATATTATATAGACTCTAATGATTCCGATCTAATCTGAATGTAATTTAGATACTAAGAGATCATGTAAAGTAGCATATGTGAAAACAAATAGAATGATGGAAAATAGAAGAATAAATAAAACAAGAGTAAAGGTTAGCCGATAATTGAACCAAAGTACAAAATGCATCTATTTCTAATGAAGAAAGTAATCGTTAATAATTTTTAATAATACTGTAGTGAATGAGAACAGAAGTGGGACAATCAAATGTATTTGAATACACAATTACAGAACGCCTTGGTAGTAGTATCTGAGACACATATTGTAAATACTTCATTTGCGTGATACCAATTAATTGTCTGAGACATCATTGTTCCTACGTTCCCCAACCAATCATTCTCTATTCCCATTCCCTTTTCTTCGTAATTCTTAACCTTCTACCACCAGGTATTTCGCTTTCGACTGATGATATATACTACTTATATCTCTCGATATCAGTAGCACATATCATAATACAAACGTAAAATTATGATTGATAGTTTGGTATTCGAAAATGGTCGGCGACGTTAGATCCCCAAAACTCATATTTTGTAATTTTATCTTGTGGAGCTTGTATGCAGATGCATGCTTGTGCATTTCTTACCACCCACGCAGATATTCGATGACGAACTTATCGATCAAATTTATACGAATATTCGTCAATATTAGAACGAATAGTTTGACAGATAATTGGGCGCCGAGTAAATGTTTAAAAACTTCCAGGCAATATCGATTATATATATTTTGTATAAATTGCCTTCCTGAAGAATGCTTACATATAAATTTTAGTAATAATTATTATGTGAAAAGTAATCTACTTAGGGCTAATTGCTATGTAGCAGTGAAGGTCTCATATGAGACTGAAGGTTCGCCATTGTATTTTGAATGGTTCGGCTTTAACTTTAGCAAGTTTTGTTGACTGTTCATGCACAAAATTGGTTTGCTGGTTGCTTTTGATTGTTTTCAAGAGCCATTGTCATTGGGACATTGTAAGGCAGTCGCCATTGCTAATATTAATGAGTATGACTGTCGTGTAAGTGGAATAGGTCAACTTTGGCCTGTTCGAGCTGTACATAACTATATTATATATATAATAATCTATTTGTCTTTACATGGATCAACACTAATCGACTGATCACACCACACACTTAATCAAGTGATCTTCTTGTCACAGTTAGTATTCTTTTTCTATAATGATAACTAAGGGAGAGCCGACTCTCCCCTATCTCGGCCGTACCAGAGCATGTGGGGCTTTATGGTTTTTAAGTGTTCAACATGTATATGACGACTAATAATGCCACTAATTAGCCTAGATCGAAGTACATATGATTTGAGCAAATAACTCACTTATTAAAAGCCGGATACGTTACACATTTATATGATAAAAATGATGGTTTGGTTGAGAACGATAAATGTTATTTGTTTAGTTAGATTTTTTTAAAATTCATAATGATATTGTGTTCCCAAAATACAGTAGTCGAAACAAACTACATCGATGGGCACAGTGGTTTTATTTTATTGGTCAATCATAACAAAACTATAATGAATTCTAAGATCAGCAAGGACTAAATCTTTTGCAAAGCAACCAACAAATGTTTATTATAAAATCCTTTTTGTTTCAGCACAGACATGTGTTTACAGATTATGTTGTGTCGATAATACCCCATTTTTATATTAAGAGATTTTTCCAGAAATTTTCGAATCGCACCAAAATTCATTTAAGTCATACGAGGAAATCTGACAGCTCTGTATAACTTGAAAATTTTCCAGTACAATCAACAGTAGAAACAGTTGTCATCTAATTAAATAAACACATCGATTTTGAGACTGTCTAAATAATTCGAATTTGCTTCCCCAATTACAAAGACGAGTAGCTGAAGCATTCCATGGTATAATACATCACACTGCTCCCAATAAAACGTATCACTTTATATATTTATAAACCAAAACTTATAACGACGGTAAGCTACTATGAGGCGAATAACCTAGAGAACTTAACGTCATCGTCAACAATCCAAGTTCTCAACCACTAGTAATAGGATCATAAGCTCAAATTGAGGTGCAAACACTTGAATAACTCGAGTGTTTTCCTAGCACGATAAGTATTATCCATAGATTTATGCACATAAATGTACTTGGTTACTGAAATGCAAGCTTATCTGTATATGATCTCAGCTCAGGTAAAATAAATGTGAAATATAATCAACTTACCAATGCTTGGAAAGTCATATTCAGGTCTGAAGTACTTAACAGCAATTACTTCAATTGTGTCACCATAGAAATTCTCCTCAAATCTATGGAGGATATGGACTTCCTATAATAAATTAGACGATAAGGAAAAGGATTTCCTGACCACAGAACGCTTGATATTTTTAAAATAGGGATTCCATCCAATACTCATCACCATTTTATACACTGGAGTGTTGCTCAATTTAGCCCATCCGAAGTAAATACCATTTTTAGTTGAGTCTGGTATTTCAGTAACAATAGATTCTTCAAGATTTGCTACATAGACCACCAATAAAGCAATAAGCAATAACATGCAACAAACCAGTTGGAATTCCCAGCTGTTTTGATCCTCTTCCAAAACCATGCACGACTTTACCAGATGCATAAAACAATGCTCCAGCTGACAAACTAACAAACATCTCTACAAAAAAAGGACGTTGAAGGCATACAATAAACTGTACAGAACGTACATAGATCTCATACAACAATGAAAATAGTTTGTCCTAACCCCGAAGTAAGACCAAACGAACACTGAAACGACCATAAATGAGAGAACACATATAAGACATTCAGGTATAAATAGGGCAAGACTTGTAACAAATTCTCATCTACTCTAAATTAGCACAATCCACCAAAACATATACCGACCATGAAACTGCATAAAAATACCGATGAAAAGTGATTTCAAATACAATATAACTTTGGCTTTTCTTGAATGACAACGGTGGTTGGTGGAATTTAAGTTAGTCTCAATTCATTCCGTTTCCTGCTCATTTTTACCAATTTGCTGTAAATACGACAAATAATAGTTTAATAAAGCTTATCGCTCTTAAAGTTGGGATGAATTTCATGAAATCGGTGTATCGTCGAACCTATTTTCGTAGTTTAATGGTTCTTGCTAAATTACAGATACAGAATGATCTTGGAGTGCAAAATTATATTTTGTTATATGGTGTTGTCATTAAAACATAACACTGCCAATAAATCGAGGGTTCGAACACTGCCCCTCCTAATTTGGTCTAGACATGAAGCTAATATCAGCATCTCTTAAGTACTAACCAAGTCCTAGAGCCAAGTACATAAGTGTTGTGCTTGGTAAATGAGTTCCCACATGCAAACAACTCTTCAAAGGCACTTACAATCAAACACTAGCCATCTGAGCATGTCACTTATCAAAGATCATAGCTTTAAATTGATGGATGAGAGTCTTGTGATAAACGGGAAAAGGATTTACACCACAACATTATCCCACTGCAAAGAAAAGCATGAGATCTTTACATGCTCCATCATTATGATTTCTATATTTGCAGCTCATAAGCAAATT